AGTTATCAAATTTGTTCCTTAAATCAAATTTATTACCATTAGAAACGTAATATATATGACTATATGTATAAATATATTTATCGTTACCAAAAAAAAAAAAAAAAAACCCACTAATTTTGTTAACAGAAATCAACATTGATGACCAATAATAACCAATATCTGAAATCATTTATTTCTCAATTGCAAAAAAGAGAAATTGTTTATCTATTTACATAAATATATATTTCTATAAATATAGTTTTCTCTCTCTAGATTTTCTCCCTAATTATATATATTATCTATTTCATAATTTTTTTATTTGAAAAAGAAAAAAAGAAGATGAATGAAATCCCAAAATTGGAAACAGATGATGCAAGATCGATGTTTCCGACACCGACGATGTTTCCGGCGAGATCAAGTGAATTCCAAGAGAGGAGGAAGGTTGAGATCGATATTGGTCTCGGCCTTGGTGCCGCGAAACTCACGCACCACCGAATCGTAGGAGGTTGTGCTCCTTTGAATCCACGATGAACTCTATCTCTACATCCGTTATGGTTGGCCCTCTGTGTGTGAGAGGTTTGAGATCTCGTTTTTTGTCTTTAATTTTGAAAAGTGAAGTTTAGAAGAGCAACAAAGGAAGAGAGAGATGGGAGGCAGATGTATTGTATAATTTTTTTGTATTGTAAATTGTATTGTATAAGTATATTTGTATATGGTATTTGTGCTTGTGGTAAAAATTAATGTAGCTCAATAAATATTTTTATTTCTGTGTTGAGTTGACGATAAGTAAGTGATGATGTGGCACAATTTGAACAAGGGGCTAGATTACAGCCATTGAATCCTCAATGGACTCTCTCCGATGAGAGGTGCCATGGAGAGGATTTTTGCCCATCTTCTTCCCCAAAACTCCTATATGTATAGATGGATTAAGTTATGAAAGAGTATTGGGGAAGAGGATGGACTAAGGGTAATATATAAAACTCTTAATCCATCTTCTTCCCCAAAACTCATATATATATATATATATATATATATATATATATATATATAACCCTTGGTCTATCTTCTTCTCCAATACTCTCTCATAACCCTTAATCCATCTCTCTCTCTCTCTCTCTCTCTCTCTATATATATATATGGCGATGGTATGTTATCCCACCCCACCCCATTGCTGCCACCTTTCAAGTTCTTACCACCATCAACAACAACAACAACCAATTTCTAACCCAAAACCCTAATAGATCGCGATGGTATGTTATCTCAACCCAACCTCCCCCCACCTCACCCAATTGCTACCACCTTTCAACCTCTTACCACCATCAACAATGACTAATTTCTAACTCAAAACCCTAAAGTCAAACTAACACCACCTAATCAGACCCCCCATTTGGCGTTGTGGTGATGGTGGACAATGTGGTCCAATAATGGTGGCAGTGATGGCGGACAAGGTGGTATGATGCGGTAAGGAATGGAGGGTCTTGCTGGAGATATCGAGGCAAGAGAGGAAGAACAAGGACTCCACAAGCGATTGAAACCCAGACACATCGACGCTAACCAAATTGGAGACCAACTGGTCTGAAAAATTGGTAGAAGAACATCGAATAGTGGAGATTCGAAATATACATCTGGTGATGGTGTTTTAGGAGGTTGAGTTTGTCATCTTCTGTTCATTGGTTAGGGCTTTGAAAAATGAAGCATTGACCAATTTGTTCTTGGATTTGGAGGTTTCGTTGTTGGAGCTAGAGTTTAATGAGGAATTGAGAAATGAGTTTTGGTTTTGGTGGAATTTTACCTCTGATTCGGGCTTCTCTTCTTCATGAAGCCTTTGGGGTTGCTTTTGTTCAATCTTGGAGCGCTTGAAGAAATTTTTCTGTAGACGTCTTGGGCTAATCTCTGTCGCTTTTTTTGCAATTCTTGTTTCAGGATATCCTTATTTTTTTTTTTTTTTTGTTTTTTTAATGTTATAGGTCCCTTTCTTTCTTAGTCTTTCTCGGAGTTGAAGCACTGTCGATTCGTTTGGAGCCAAATCATATTAATTTAGGATTGTTCATATTTATAATCAATGTTTATATATATATATATATATATATATATATATATATATATATATAGTTATCCATAGAGAGTGAAATTGGGTGAGGTGTATTTGTAGAGATGGAAGTCAAAATTATAATTTTATGATTTAAATAGGTCAAATCATAAGTTAAAGGGTATTATGGTCAGGTTATAGAGTTGGTCATAGTTAAGTTTACCAAACCTGAGAGACTGTTACTCTTCAAAAATAGACCTAACTTGTATAAAACTATCATTATGGCTAGGGTGTCAATGTAATTTACCCTTACATTTAAGAATGACAATGAAATTGAAAATGAGAGTTCCATTACCAATGTAAGAAGGGTTAGAATTTAGATTAATAGGTGCAAAGAGTATAAGCCTGGCATTCCAAAATCTACCTAAGGCACTAACCCCAACCCTACTGGACAATCAAGTCCAAGCTCACAATATTTTGTCCATAGTTAGCCCATACATATATATATATATATATATATATATATATATATATATATACATATATATATATATATTTTCTCAATGGCTTCAATTTGAAAGGAAATTATGGTTTAACCAATATAACAAGAAGAAAATTTATGATCACAATTTAGGAGAATAAGTTTTTACCTCACTAACGGGTATCTAGCCCAATGGTATAACCTATCTATTCTCAAAGAAGAGGGGAGGGGCTCAAACCCGGTGTGGACGAAATATAAAAAATTCTTACCACATATGCACAGAAAATAATTTTTAGATCAACAGCATTTCATTTTCATATTTCTATTTACTACCCCTAATAAACTGAACAGCCCTGCATGTAGTTCAAACCCTTTAAAGCAACAGTATGATTCAGGGATTATATCAAACAAACTAAAACAAATGTCAAAATAAAATATATTAAAACAACTTCAACTAAATAGCTTACTATTATTACACAATTAATTGCAAGCTTACCATATGCTTTGATCATTGATTTTACTCTCAATTGGAATGACTCAAGCTAAGAATTCAAGTTTATCCATTTCTCTTCACCCACCAAGCATTCGAATTGGATTTCTGTAAGCTCGTCTCTCTATTATTCTTCTCAGAAAAACTTGATCCACATGTTTGTAGTACCATTGTCTCCATCTTCTACAGAACACAAGTGGCCAGATGATGATTCCTAACCCCACGATAAATCCCAATGCTGCACTTAGGTAGACCTCTGTCTCCAAGATTGAATGCCCATCTCCGAATATTGGTGGTGAATCTTCAGCAATATTATTGCAACTCGTGTTCAAAGGGAAGTCGCATAGTCCTGGATTCCCTAGAAATGATGTTTCTGAGAATGTTTGAAACTGGGAACTTGTCAAAATTCTTCCAACCAAAAGATTGTATGACACATTCAAGAGTGAGAGAAATGTAAGACTTGCAAGTTGTGTCGGGATCATCCCTGTCAGCATGTTCTGTGAAAGGTCTAATGACTCGAGCTTCTTCAAGTTTCCTAATGATGTTAGAATTGAGCCTTTGAGATCGCTGTGTGATAAGTTAAAAGGAACTAGTGATGTGAGATTTCCAGTAGTATCAGGTATTTCCCTTTCAAATACATTGCTTGAAAATTCAATGTATGTAAAGATAGTTAAAACTTTCACCCACTCTACCTCTTTTCCTTTGTAGGTGACCTTTACTTGATTTGAATAATACCTAAAAACATCTCCAAAAGAATCTTTTAACAGATAACCCAAATTAATTAACTTTGGTTGTGCATTATCGTTATCTATCATCATTGCCTTCAAATTTGAGAAATAACTTGATGGTAGATTGCCGCCAAAGTTATTGAAAGCTAGGTCAATGATATGAAGATTCCACCAGCTTACATTAATTTTCCCTTGGCAATTAATGTCTCCATGAATCCTATTAGAACGCAAAACTAAAACATGTAGACTAGATATGTTTTCCAAAAAGCACGGAAACCTATCAGTTATCATATTCTTACCAAGGTTTATGTAATGAAACAAGGATCGAATAGGAGTTTATGAGAATAAGTGAAAAAATAATGACAAGAAAATAAATAGGCACATACAAACGAGACAAGGATTTATATGTGGTTCACCCTCACAAATAGGGTTACATCCACGGACGATGATGATTAGTATCACTATAAAGAAAAAGATTACAAATTGAAGAACGTTTTGGTTCTTCCTCACAATAATCTCTCTTCTCACACCACTCACTCAATCAACAAAGAAGACTCACTCAACACTCAAGAAATACCCCAAATAGTATATGGTTTACACAAAGAGAAAAACCCATCCAAATACAAACTTCAACTCTCTCTAGAAGATTGTACACACAAAAGGATTTTCTCTCACACACACAAAACCAATATACTCTCTTGATCCGAATATTGTCTTACTCTTGGATGTCTCTCGGATGCCTTTCATCAAATGAGTGCAAGGCTATTTATAGCCAAGAATATACTTGGTATCCAAGTATATTACAAAGCTTCCTTTGGAAGCCAAATAGCACTTATTGCCTAGGAATAATTCTTGCTGCCCAAGAATTTCAAAGCTTCCTTTGGAAGCTAATTTGGAAGCTTCACTGTCACATTTCTATAGCCAATAGATTTTTGCCATATCATAAATGAATTTTAGACAAATTTCTAACAAATCTCCACCTTGACTAAAATTCTCCACCTTGGCAAAAATTTTGAATGAACCATAAAATTCCATCCTTGGCAAAATTTCTCCGCCTTAGCAGAAATGATAAGACAACATCATAAAGAGTCTTTCTTCAACGCAATGTGAGTAATAAAAATAACGTCATCATCATCTCCAACACAAAACAAATTAATAAAGAATTTTAGTTAAGTTTGAGTCATACTCAAACTTAACCCTCGGGCTCTAATTCTTCAACCCATGCATACCTTGTGCAGCCATAAGGATACCTCTAGTATTTGTGTCAAACTCTAAATGCTTACCAAAAGCAACCTAAAAAATTCCAAGTTTGACATCTCCTTCAGCAACCTTTAGCAACCGCCCACAAACCACCGGTTGGTAATGGAAAGTCATCTTCTCACCCTTGTGGAGATTAGGACGACCTTGACTTTTCCTCACATCTCTGTTGTGACCAACTACTTGCCTCCCACACATCTTAATAGCACTTGAATGGACTATCATTGCCACCAAGATTATTGCAAGTCAATATCACACCTGTCCTCATGGGTCTGCCTCCCTGTAAGGACTGCTGCAATTTCGGTTGCCATCTGAAAACGGATTTCATTATCCTACCACGTTGTGTAGTCCCCTCACAACCCTTTTAAGAATTAGGATCGTAACTCCTCTTTCTAACTCTTCTTTTGCCAAAACCTTACTGAGTGAGCAGGGCCTGCATCTTAATGTGCCAAAGACTGAAACTAATCTTGCCATCAAATTTCTCAATCTTGTATTTTGTCGACATCTCAAAAAACTCCCCAAAAGCTCTGATACTAATTTGTTATGAAATAAGGATCGAATAGGAGTTTATGAGAATAATAGAAAAAATAATGACAAGAAAATAAATAGACACACACAAACGAGATAATGATTTATACGTGGTTCACCCTCACAAATAGGGTTACGTTCATGGACGATAATGATTCATATCACTATAAAGAAACAGATTACAAACTGAAGAACATTTTGGTTCTTCCTCACAATAATCTTTCTTCTCACACCACTCACTCAATCAACAAAGAAGACTCACTCAACACTCAAGAAATACCCCAAATAGTATATGGTTTACACAAAGAGAAAAACCCACCAAAATACAAACTTCAACTCTCTCTTGAAGATTGTACACACAAAAGGATTTTCTCACACACATAAAACCAATATACTCTCTTGATCCGAATATTGTCTTACTCTTGAATGCCTCTCGAATGCCTTTCATCAAATGAGTGCAAGGCTATTTATAGCCAAGAATATACTTGGTGTCCAAGTATATTACAAAGCTTCATTTGGAAGCCAAATAACACTTGTTGCCCAAGAATATGCTGCCCAAGAATTTCAAAGCTTCCTTTGGAAGCTTAACTACCACATTTCTGTAGCGAATAGATTTTTGTTATGTCATAAATGAATTTTAGACAAATTTCTTACCGTTTAAAACTTCCATCCTTCTGCAGTTTGACAATGATTTCGGAACCCGCCTTTCCAAAAGATTACCACTGAGATCCAATGTCTGTAGACTACAGTTGTTGGGAAACAAACTCAGAACTTTTCCACTAAATATGTTATTTTGCAGATTCAGTACTCCAAGAGTACTAGTACTCCTTTTGATCAAACATGATGGTATTGTGCCATTCAAAACATTATTAGATAAATCTAGAACTTGAAGGTATTTTGTATTGCATATTGATTGAGGAATGTTTCCGATGATGCTATTATTTGAAAGAGAGAAGAAATAAGCATTGGTGAGGAAATTACCAATAGTAGGAGGGATAGAAGAGCTGAAACTATTGCTTGAGAAGTCCGTGTATTCAGCAAATATTCCTGGTATTGGGATTTTCCCATGGAACTGGTCAGAGTGTAGGTCAAGGAGACCAAGGAAAGCTTGAACAAAATAGGGTACTTGAAAATAAGACAGGAGATTGTGAGAGAGATTCAAGTGATAGAATATTCCATTACCAACTTCCCAAATTTGGTTGTCAGAAAGGTCCAACTCGGCCAGTACAGATTGGTTCTTTAGATCAGGAAAACTTTCCAACTTGCAAGAAGCCAAATATAATCCTTCAAACTGGGGGATCGAAGACAAGTTTGAACCACTGCCACTACTTGTATGGATTGACAAGCTGTTGTATGAAAGGTCAATGAGGGAAAGATTGCGCAGCCTATAAAAATTTTCCAGTTGTATTGAACCATTGAAGTTGTTGAAATTAAGTACAAGGACAGTAAGCCTTCTGAGTTGAAAGAAAGACATGGGAACCGACCCTTGTAAATGGTTACTTCCCAAATTGATGAACTCTAGTAGAAAGGAGGAAGCATTAGAAATTTCATCAACTTGACCATCAAATTTGTTAAATGAAAGATCAATTTGTGTCAGCGATGGAATATTCAAAAGAGATGATGGAATGGTTCCACTGAGTGAATTATGGTCCAAGTATATGATGGAGAGATTCTTCGAAAATGATGGAATTGGACCAGTAAACATGTTGTAAGCCAAATCCAAAAGAACAAGTTGAGTAAGGTTTGCAAATGAACCTGGGATTGGTCCAGTGAAGCTACAATTAAAAACATATATCACGGACAACATCCGAAGGTTACCAATAGAACTTGGTAATCCCCCGGAAAAATTTGTGTAGCGAAGAATCAAGGTCTGGAGAGCTCCATTCTGGGAAAATTCTGGAAAATAACCATGAAATAAGTCATTGACCCCTAAGTCAAGCTTACGTAGAGTTGGTACGTGGAAGATGTTTTCTGGAAATGTTCCTTGCAAATTAGAATCCGTGAGATATAATTCTGTCAAATTGGTGAAGTTTGCAAAGAAATTTGGAACTGGGGCAGACAAATAGTTCTCACTCAAATTAATCACCGAAATTGACTGGAGATTCTCAAGAGAAGAGCAAAGAGGACCTGAGAGATGACACCGTGACAAGCTCAAGACTTGAAGACAAGGTAGTGAAGAAGATATGATTTTGCACCATTCCTCTCCCATGGATGATATATATACACCATCAAGATGGAGTACTGTGATCTTCGTGAGATTCTGAACAAGCAATTTTAGATCTGAGTTCTCAAGTTCCAAGTAGTAGTTCTGAGAGAAATCCAATGAGAGCCTTGGCGGTGGTTATATATATATATATATAAAAATATGGCACAGTCCAAGCTCTTACCTTGGTTTTCTGACAATGATGTCATAGCATCTTTGTTCTTGCATTGTCAAGTGCGAAATTCCAATAGGAAATCGACAAGTGATAATTCGAATTTTTTTAAATTTTAATTTATTTTATAATTTTTAGTGATTTTATTTAATTTTAAATTGAAGACTCAGTTTAGTGAATTTGGATTTTTGTTACATTGTATATATTTTTGTGTGTAGCATTTTAAGGACGCAAGGTAGCTGCCGAAATTTAAATAGGAAAATAATGAGACCGTGTTGTTATGTGGGTTTCATTAATGAGGGGTTTTGAATTGTTTTATTGCGATGGTATATATATCTATAAGATACATGTACATATTGCACCTGATGCAAAGGAATGCACTTGGGACGAAATTAGAGAAATGAGAAATTGATAAGGTGAGATTTTTGGCGGGTCCCATTTGTCATGGGTTTTGATTTTTGTTTTATGTTTATGTATTATATTATATATATATTTCTTTTGTCTGTTAAGAAGCAATGAGCTGATACACGAGATTTGGAGGGGAAAAGAAGAAAGAAAAGTAGTGGCGGAACCCACCAACTGATTTGTTTGGCAAAGAGGTTGTGGGCTTCACGTGGGTTTGGTCTGGTTTTTAGGAATGGAGTATATTGTATGGTGATGAGAAGGAGAGAGAAATGGGCTCAATTATTTTATTGCAACGTGTAATTGTTTTGTGTGGTGGGCTGAGGTTGGAGAGAAAGCGGGACAAGAAGTAGAGGGAGCAGGTTGATGAGATGAGATTTTGGCAGACTCACTTTTTTTTGACTCTAACCCATAAACATGGAGTAGTAAGTGATAGTTGATTTTTTTTCGGCAAAGATTACGTAAATTGTGCACATGGGTTTTGAGCTGATGGTGGAATTGGGTCGGTGTAATTTGCTTATTTAATGTGTGTTGTGTGCCACTAAGTCAGTTGAAAGACAGATAAATTAGAGAATCAAAGAGTGTATACAGAGAGTGAGCCGAGAAAGATAGAGTGAGAAGTGAGGGTCGAGAGTTTGAGGAAAAATACAGAGTGAGTTAAGTTGCAGAGCAGGCTGGAGCTTGAAGTGTTGAGAAATAACTCTTTTTCAGTGTAGGATTCTCTATACCTTGAATGGTATGGGGCGGTTTTGCCTCAAATGATTTTATTAAATGTTTTGATTAAATGCATATTTATTTTGTCAATATACGATTATGTATGTTTTGTGAAGCTGTTTTATTAAACCTTCATGAAATTCTTGTTATGGTTTTTTTTATTTGGACTTTTTGTCTCACCATCCTCTAATTTTAAGTATCGAAGATGAATGGGGATTGATAGATTCGGACTTAGGCTGAATAGTCGGCGTTGCGAGTTTTGTTGTTATTATTTGGAGATTTTTTTGTGTATTTGAAGAAATTGATTTGTATAAAAGAGGGCATTTTTTTTTTTTTTTTTTTTTTTTCAATTCTGGGTATATTTTGATGTATTTTGAGATTTTATTGAGAATTTTATTAAAAAAATTCGGGGGCGTGACACGCCCTCTCAAGCCCACATATGACAAATTCAAATATGTCAAACCCAGAAGAAATTTGCCAAGAGCTGAAGGTGTTATTAGCAAGATTCAGACTTTGAAGATACTTGAGACTGAAAAGAGTACTTGAATTGCGGATTCCTCCAGAGATTGATTCATTTCTCAAGTCTAGAACAACAACATGACCCATATCGTCGCACGTTATAACTGGTGTAAGAAATTGGACTTATCAAATTGATAGTGATAAATCACTCATTCTATGCTAAACAGCGTCAAAGTTTAGATCTATTGCAATCATTTTCGAACATTTCATCCAAGATAAGACGAATAACAAGAGAGCTTCTTGTTTTGTCTTCAAAATCATTTATTTGTTTATGTTTGTACTTTTCGTTCCATCCTCAGCAGAAGAAATATAACCCTCATATGTCCATGATCAAAGTAAAGAATTTTGGGCTTACTTGGTAAATTGTTTGATAGCGTAGATGATTTTATTCTTAGGAAATCAAACTACAGTTAAGTAAATTGTTCTTTAAAAATTGAGTATTGCCTCTTAACAATTTTAATTACTACAAACCATTGGAAGAGTCTTCTAAATCCTTTGTTCGTCTGTTTGCTGGTAGAGTTTTCTAACTTGTCTTTTAGCATTTGTGATGACTTAATGAGCATCCCTTCTAATTCAAGAGTTCAAAATGTTGACTGGAAAGAACTAAATGACAAAAAGGAAAAAACTAAAATAAGATATATGTTGTTTGTCTCAGACACAAAAATATAATATCACAATATAACAAATGCGACAAAAAAAAAAAAAATATATATATATATATATATATATCTTTTTCAATTGAGCCGCCCAGGATGTAGCATTACTTTTTCTTATTCATCTTTGTCACTCTAAGAGAGTGAAAGCTTGGTCATGAAATTCAGTATAATATATATAGTAGGACTTAGTAGTAAATTTGTCCTACTTTTTCTAACAAGGACACAAATTAATTAACTCCATTCAACATATTGTTTTATTTGGAGTTGTTTATTCATCCTGATTGTAATCTCTTCTGCACTCCAAAGGGTGGTTGTTGTATATATCACCTAAGCATGGAATTGCGACAATAGCAATGTTTCGGGTTCTCTCTTAGTTAGATATACAGTTTGCTTGGTGGTATTCAGAGGGTGGTTGTTATGGATAAGGCAGAATGAATCAAATCCAAATAATCATAGAAATTGCCAAGAGTTTTGGGAAATTCATAAATTATTCCAATCAAAATTCAATTATTTTATTATAATTGAATTTATTGGAACTTTATTTAAAAAAAAAAAAAAAAACCATACAAATCATAGTATGGAATTTATTAAAGTAAACGTACCTGGTTCATAGCAACGAACTTCAATTCAGTAAAAAACCCTAACACAAGCAAGCAGATATCACGCACGGTGCTGCAATTAAACTCACCAAACCCTAGTCTTTTCTCTTATCTCATCCAAATTTAAAGGCTTAAAATTTTAGTTAAAAAATGACCCATCTTTCCATAAACATCCAGCATAAGAGATTCCCATTAGAATTTGCCAAATCGAAGAGAGAAAGATGGATGAACTAGAGGAGGAGAGAGAAAGAACGAAGAGGAACCTAGGGAGCGAAAATCGGGAAGGAGTTTTACTGTATATATATTGACAATGCAAAAGCTCACAGATGTCATTATAATTTACCCTTAAATTTAAGAATGACAATGAAATTGAAAATAAGAGTTCCATTACCCTGTTTCTTTCTTGCATGGCCTAAGAAAAATCAAGTTCAAGCTCACAATATTTTGTCCTTGGGTCACGAGGAAAAAATATCCCCATTGTATGTAAGTAGAGTGTATAATTCTTTATACATTTTAAAAATTATCGAATATTCAATTTCGGAGGAGCAAGTAAGGACCTGAATGTTTGAATATTCAATTGATTGTTGAAACTTTTATAACCTGTTTGGACTGCTAGGGGTGAAATGGGTATGTTGACAGATTTTTTGGACTGATCTTGAAGTGTGCATTTTTAACACGACATGAGTGTTTTTTTCTTTTTCTTTTTTTACTGAAAACGTAATATGCTTTTTGGCGATATTAACTAGATAAGGAAAATACAGAGAACCGGACAGACAAAGATGGATGAACTAGATGAGGAGACAGAAAGAACGAAGAGGAAACTAGGGAGCGAAAATCGGGGAAGACTTATTACTGTATTTTTACCGCGCAAAGAAAAATATCGACGTCTCATAGCCAAATGGATTCGGACTATAAAGCATAAATGGGTCCAAACAGTCGGACCATGAATACAAATGAATGAAACTTTTATAATTTTTATAAAAAAACTTGGTCAAGAAAAAAAGTTGTCAAACAAAAATTATTGATTTGAAAAAACTCATTTTTCTTTTCTTAATTACATTCCTCACGAGCGAATCAAGACTATTATTTGACTGAAGTGATAAAAAGAAAATAGTTAGGCCGTGGCAAAGATTACTCTAAACATAAATTATATATATTGACAATGCAAAAGCTCATAGGTGTCATTATAATTTACCCTTAAATTTAAGAATGACTATGAAATTGAAAATAAGAGTTTCATTACACCTGTTCCTTCTTTCTTGCATGGCGTAAGAAAAATCAAGTTCAAACTCACAATATTTTGTCCATGGTTTAGGAGGAAAAAATATTCATATGATATGTATATAGAGTGTCTAACTCTTTATACATTCTAAAAATTGTTGAACATTCAATTTTGGAGGAACAAGTAAAGACTTGAATGTTTGATGTAGAATTGATTGCTCAAGCTTTTATGACCTGTTTGGACCGCTAAGGGGTGAAACATTCACTCGATCATCATTGCCAACCAAAAGATTGTATGACACATTCAAAACCGAAAGAAATGTAAGACTTGCAAGTTGTGTTGGGATCATCCCGGTCAACTTGTTTCGTGAAAGATCAAGTGATTCGAGCTTCTTCAAGTTTCCTAATGATGTTGGAATTGAGTCTTGGAGGTCATTGTACGATAAGTTGAGAAGAACAAGCGATTTGAGATTCCCAACAGTATCTGGTATTTTCCCTTCAAATCTATTGTTTGAAAAATCAATGGAGGTAAAAATAGTAAAAACTTTCACCAGCTCCACCTCTATCCCTTTATAGATGACATTCACTCGATCTGAATAGTAGTGTCCAGCAGTATATTCAGAAAAGTAGAGATAACCCAGATTATCAAACATTGGTTGTGCATTATCATTGTCAATCATCATTGCCTTCCAATTTGAGAAGAAGCCTGACGATAGAGTGCCGCCAAAGTTGTTTGAAGCAATTAATGTCACCTTGGAACCTATTAGAGCGCAAAACTAAAACATGTAGGCTTGATATGTTCTCCAAAAAGCACGGAAATCTATCACTTACCATGTTATTGCCAAGGTTTAAAACCTCCAACCTTCTACAATTTGACAATGATTTTGGAATCTGCCCTTCCAAACGATTGCCACTGAGATCCAGAGTTTGTAGATTACAATAGTTTGGAAATACAGTCAAAACATTTCCACTAAGTCTGTTATTTCGCAGATTCAGTACTCCAAGAGTACTAGTACTCCTTTGGATCAAACATGATGGTATTGTGCCACTCAAACGATTATTAGACAAATCTAGAACTTGAAGGTATCTCATATTGCATACCGATTGAGGAATGTTTCCAATGACGCTATTATTTGAAAGAGAGAAGAAAGAGGCATAGGTGAGGAGACTACCAATAGTAGGAGGGATAGAAGAGCTGAAATTATTACTTGAGAAGTCAATGTATTGAGCTGATTCTCCTGGTATTGGGATTTTTCCAGAGAGCAGGTTAGAGTGTAGGTCAAGGAAAAGAAGGTTGGGGTGTAAAACATGCGGTTCTTGCAAATCAACCAAGAGATTGTGAGAGAGATTCAAGTAAAGGAGACTTCCATTCCCAACTTCCCAAATCCAGTTTGGTATTTTCCCTTCAATTTGGTTGTCTGAAAGGTCAAGGATACAGAGAGACAGTGGTCTATAAAACTTTTCCAGTTGTATTGGGCCACTAAAGTTGTTGGAATTGATCATAAGACGAATAAGCCTTCTGAGCTCAAAGAAAGACATGGGTATTGCCCCCTGTAAATTGTTACTACTCAGATTGATGACCTCTAGTAGAGAGGAGGAAGCATTAGAAAATTCATCAACTTGACCATCAAATTTTTTCAGCGATGGGAGTTCTAAAAGAGATGACGGAATGCTTCCATTGAGTGAATTTTGACTTAAATTAATCATAACAAGATTCAATAGGCCTTCAAAGTGGGTGGAAGGAACTGTACCCGTTAAATGATTATGGGATAAGTCTATGTAGGAGAGGTTCTTTGAAAATGATGGGGTTGGACCAATAAACATATTGTATGACAAATCCAAATAAACAAGTTGAGTAAGGTTTTCCATTGAACTTGGGATTGCTCCAGTTAAGTTGCAATTCTGAACATCTATCGTGGACAACATCTGAAGATTACCAATAGAATTTGGTAATATCCCAGAAAAATTTGTGTGTCTAAGAATTAAGGTCTGGAGAGATCCATTCTGGAAAAATTCTGGAAAAGAACCCTGAAGTAATTCATTGGCTGATAAGTCAAGTTTATGTAGAGTTGGCACATGGAAGATGTTTTCCGGAAATGTTCCCTGCAAATTAGAATACCAGAGAAGTAATTCTGTCAAATTGGTGAAGTTTGCAAAGAAATTTGGAACTGGGGCGGACAAATTGTTATGACTCAGATCGATCACCGAAAGGGATCGGAGATTCTCAAGGGAAGAACAAAGAGGACCTGAGAGATCACAGAAAGACAAGCTCAAGACTCGCAGATTAGGGAGTGAAGAAGATATGGCTTGGCACCATTCCTCTCCCTTGGACGATATATTTACACCATCAAGACGGAGTTCTGTGAGCTCCGTGAGATTCTGAACAAGTAATTTTAGATTTGAGTTGCCAAGTTTTAAGTAGTAATTCCCAGAGAAATCCAGAGAGACCAACCTTGTCAAACCTGAAATCCCAATAGGAAATTGTCCTGTCAAGTCTGCATATGACAAATTCATATATGTCAAACTAGTTAGCTTCTCAAACCCAGATGAAATTTGCCAAGAGCCGAAGCTGTTTTTAGCAAGATTCAGACTTTGAAGATACTTGAGATTGAAAAGGCTACTTGAGTTGTGGATTCCGCCAGAGATTGATTCATCGCTTAAGTCGAGACCAATAACACGACCCATATTGTTGCACGTTACACCACTCCACTCGCAACAATCCATATTATGGTTCCAGAGCACCAGCTTGGTTGAATATGCAGAGTTGAATATGAGGCTATTCTTTAACTGGAGCAACAAAGTTTTGTGATGGTCTAAACATTGGGCGTATACTGGAGTGATAAAGATCGAGTGTGTGGTGATCAAGAAAAACCATGGGAATAGAGGAAACCTCATATTTAGGCAACAAGGGAAGACGAAGTGAAGAACTATTGTAGCAGGGGGTGGTTTTAAAATAGAGCTGGGGTTGACCCATAACTATTGTATTCTGGCATATATGAACATCATTCCAAGTCTATTTTTTTGGGTTAGAACTTGACTCCAAGTCTTCTTCTTCGTCTTATTTATTTATTTTTGGCAAATACTTGACTCCAAGTCTTTGTATTAGCGAGTCTTGTGCTTGGCTTATTGTTTAAAAAATTTAGAATTTAAATTTTTGCAATGACTTGTAATTTCGACACTTACCTATGAAAGATGACTGTGTTTCTCATGTTGAAACTGTGGCAGGTCTAGGGGTAGAGTGCTGCAATATATCTGAAAAGCAGATAGAAGAATTAGGTAATGGATTTCTGGATTTGATTTCAAGCAATGTCCTGAAACAGCATTTATTGCATCCACTTATTATTGGGCCATTTGATTGTTATGGTGAACAGTAAAAATCCTTAGAGCTCACTTTTAAAAATTTTGAGTGAGTTTTAGATATCTAAAGGAAGGCAAATTGTTTTTGAAGGTCATTAACACTGGTGGGATATGATTGATTTCTTACCATCAAAAAAAAAAAATGTCATCTATGATCCCATGGATGAGAAAAACCTCCTTCTGCCCATTGCACAGTGCAACGGCCGAAGGGCGCATCCGAACCGTCCGTGGAAAATACGTGCCCGTGCGTGTATTGCACGCATAGTAATAAACGGTCCGATGTGCTCGTTGCACTGTACAACTGGCCCAAGGAATTTTTCTCCCATAAAGATGGACTTCCACATTCTTTAAATGTATCTAAGATAAGACGAATAACAAGGAATCTTCTTGTTTTGTCTTCAAAATGATTTATTTGTTGATGTTTGTACTTTTGGTTTCATCCTCTATAACCCTCATATATCCATGATCAAAGCAAGGAATTTTCGGCTTGCTTGGTAAATTGTTTGAGAGCGTAGATAATTTTATTCTTGGGAGTTCAAACTACAGTTACGTAAATTGTTCTTTAAAAATTGAGTATTGCCTCTTACTATTTTAATTACTACAAACCATTGAAAGAGTCTTCTAAATCCATTGTTCGTCTGTTTGCTGGTAGAGTTTTCTAACTTGTCATGTAGCATTTGTGATAACTGAATGAGCATCCCTTGCTAATTCATGAATTCAAAATGTTGACAAGAAAGAAAAATACAAAAAGAAAAAAAAATACTAAAACAAAATTATATGTTGTTGTCTTAGTCACAAAAATATAATATCACAATATAACTAATGCGACAAAATAATAATAATAATAATAATAATCTTTTTTAATTTAGCGGCCCAGGATGTTAGCATTGTTTTTTCTTATTCATCTTTTTATCACTCTAGATATTGAAAGGTTGATCATGAAATTCAACACATAGAGAAATATGTATATCTACATATAAAATAGAAAAAAGTAGGACTTACTGGTAAATTTATATTATAAATTAATGAAGACTTAAAAGGCCATCTGACTTTAGGGGCATTTTGCACAATTATGAAAGGTGACAAGGGTTTTTTACTCAAAAGCTGTTCAATGGGTTGGTTTTTTGCAAAAGGTTAGAAGGTTAAAATGACAATCTAACAGAAGGGGTAATTTGTAAAATATAGAAAAATACAAGGGGGTTTAACGCAAAACTGAAAGTTCATAAGATTTTTCAGTATCTTGAGGTATAATTAGGGGTATAAAAGGAACCAATACCCTGTGCAATTCAATTAAGAGCTTGAGAGAGAGAGAGCGCCTACGTAGTGACCTAACTTTTAACATTAAATGCATAAACATGTTTACTCACTAAGGAAGGGTTTGTTTTCCAAAATATGGTCCAAGTATACCATATATTATATAGTACTATTTATTTAAATATTATGTAAAAATATAATATTTATATATGAAAGAAGAAGACGTGTCGGTTTGAACCAAGGTTGTTAAAATCGGGATTCTAGGCAGAATCGTTTTGGGCTCCGTAGAATCGGAATCGTAGAATCGGATCGTGAATCGTAAGATTCTACCAAATTGTGAAAAACAATTGAAACTAACTTCTTAAACAATAAGATCTGTAAAATATAACAAAAATGAGGTCAAAACACACAATATTACATATCCATGAGTTCACAAATCTCAAATCCTAACAATATTTCAAAGTCCGAATATAAATAAAAGAGAATTTAACTCAAAATAACATGAATTTACAAATCTCAAATCTTAACCCATCCATCTCCAAAGTTAGAAAATAAAATTACATATCAAAAGTAAACCTTTTTTTTTTTTTTTTTTTTTAACTCTATGCAAATTTTTTTTTTCGAAAACTGAAGAAATAAAAAGACCTTTTTGTCTACCAATCCAAGTGTTACAGTGTATGTGACTTTATTAGTCACAAGTATGAAATTAATCAAGAGTTAGCACAACAAAATATGAACCACGCGTTAACTTGACCTCATTATATTATCAGTTTAGACTACAAGATTATACATTGGCTGGCATATTCGGCAAGTCTTTTAAGCTTTTAAATTACTTTTAATTTTTAATATATATGATAAGCCTTCAAAAAAAATTAGTCAAATGAAACCAAAATTTGCCTAAACCTGTTAGTCACGAGTATGCATCCTTGAGATATAATTGATCATTTTAATTTTTTATAATTAAACACAAAAATATATTATGAAACATCAACATGCATGGTAAAAATAATTGATATATATACATATATATATTTCTTTTTCTGCCACTAATGAAAAATAATTTATATTTTATAGAATAAATATTTAACTTTGTATACTACATTTGGGCCAGGCCTCTTTTATTTTGTAGCCCAGAAGAAACCAACCAAAAAATAAAAGAAAGCCCAAAAATAAAGCCCAAACAACCAATTTCGTAGAATCGGTAGAATCGTGTAGAATCGTATGATTCTACCTCCGATTCTACGATTCTACCCCCGATTCTACCGATTCTACCCCCGATTCTACTAATTGAACGATTCTGCTGCGATTTGACTCGATTTTGAGTTCTGAGTCGTAGAATCGTGCGACTCTATGACTCAGAATCGCGATTTTGACAACCATGGTTTGAACAATTGAAACTAATGGAAAAGGAAAATTACACGGTCTCTTGAAGAACTCCTTGGTATATATAAGTTGACCAAATGCCGGTGATGCAGAAGGCAAGCACCAGAACACGGCGGAGTCCGGCGCTGTGAGACTCCATCAAAGGGCTGGAGATCACCGAAAACACCAGATCCGGTGAGTAATTACTTATAATATATAGTTTAATAAAATAAAATAAAAATTATAAATAAAGGACCCTGATTAAAAGTCGAGGCTAGAATTTTATTCTATATCCTTAAGATAGATTTGTCCCGTTATGGTGCTAACGGACTCAGTGGCGTTTATCTCCCAAGATACAACGACTTGTCTACCTTTGGTAGTAGTACTGCAGACCAAAGGAATAGGCAAACCGGCTTAATGTAGTACTCTCTGACTCGAACTCGGACTCGGACTCGGAGTGACTGACTAAGGCTCGAACCCACAGACTAAAGAGAGAAGGAGGAAGAAGAAAATTCAGAAGAAGAAAAGAATTCTCTGAATTTTGGTGTGTTTGTAAATAACCCTAAAGGGGGGTATTTATAGGAAACAATGTGCCTTTTTGGGTATGGGTGCAACCATGGGTCATGTTGGTTCATCACAAGTTGAATCCCTTTAGAAACAGATGCAACTCTTTGGAAAATAGATGTAACTCTTTGGAAATAGATGCAACCCTTTTAAAAAAAAAAAACTATATTCAACCCTTTAAAAAAAAAAACTAACTTTTAATTTAAATTCAAAAATCATTCACCTATTTAAATAAGCTCAACCCAAAAAGAAAGGCCAATCCAAAATTTCATTTAGTAAAAAGAATAATCGGACTTTACAATTAGGCCTAGGCCCAAGCCCAAGCCCAAGCCCAAGCCCAAGCCCAAATCCCAAATTTGGCTTATTTAAATTTCAATTGGTTTCAACATATTTTCCATGTGGGACAAACACTTCCCATATTTTGCATACCCATTTAGGCTTATCAAAACACTACACTTTTGAGCTAATTTCTTATTCACCCATAAACGGATTTGAGAAAGTAAATATACCACATTCATCTCCTTGCGGAGAGAAACGCGCTCGTTCTAGAGATCCGCAAAAAATTCTTAGCGGAATCTATTCCAAATCTCATCCAAAGTTTATGTTTTTAATGCCCCCGTTTCCAACAATCCCCCACATAAATGGAAATTTGCGTAAAATACAAATGAAAAAGATACAGACACTAGAGAGAGTATTATTGGAAAGTTACTATATCCGGATAGGTAGCTTTTGGCCTTGAACCTTCCCTAGTGTATTACTATCGGATTTACTAGCTAATCAATGAACATGATGTCTTGAACTATTCAACCATTGATGTAAACCAAGACAATAGCAAACACACAGTTCCATCTTACACAAACTCGGTTCTCACGGTTGTATTCATATGGCCCTGAACAACTCCTGGTATTTCATGAGCGCTTTAGAAAACTTAGCCTTATAAGCTTTTATAGAAGCGGCCCCACTTCACGATCACGATCCGATTCTACGGAGCCCAAAACGATTCCGTTACTTACGATTCAAACCCAGAAGCAAGCAGATATCACGCACGGTGCTGCAATTAAACTCACCAAACCCTAGTCTTTTCTCTTATCTCATCCAAATTTAAAGGCTTAAAATTTTAGTTAAAAAATGACCCATCTTTCCATAAACATCCAGCATAAGAGATTCCCATTAGAATTTGCCAAATCGAAGAGAGAAAGATGGATGAACTAGAGGAGGAGAGAGAAAGAACGAAGAGGAACCTAGGGAGCGAAAATCGGGAAGGAGTTTTACTGTATATATATTGACAATGCAAAAGCTCACAAATGTCATTATAATTTACCCTTAAATTTAAGAATGACAATGAAATTGAAAATAAGAGTTCCATTACCCTGTTTCTTTCTTGCATGG